GGAGAGGAGAGAGGGAGAGAGCGAGAGAGCGAGAGAGATGCTAACCAACGATACGATCAACAACGAAATGCGGGATGCAGGATTATCCAATTTATTAATAAGATCGTCGAAGTAGAATTCGAAAATTTTGTCGAAATTAAATACAGAAAAAACACGCGCACGCGCAGGCACAACTATGGCGGCGGCGGCGGCGTCATTGGTAACGGTCGCCTAGGCGTTGTTCTTGTGTTCCTGCGCAGAGCGGACCGCAGCCTCGACCTCAGCTGCTGTGGATGGGTCGACGCACACGCCCCCATGACTCTGCAGTACGCACACCTTGTCTCCACTGCACTGCTTCTCGAAGCGAGCGCATCTCTCCGTCTGCAAGCCAAGCGAACGACAGTATGTGAATGACAGTATGCGAACGACAGTATGCGAACGACAGTATGTGAACGACAGTATGTGAATGACAGTATGTGAATGACAGTATGCGAACGACAGTATGCGAACGACAGTATGCGAACGACAGTATGCAAACGACAGTATGTGAACGACAGTATGTGAACGACAGTATGTGAAGGACAGTACGCAAACGACAGTATGTGAACGACAGTATGTGAACGACAGTATGCGAATGACAGTATGTGAACGACAGTATGTGAATGACAGTACGCAAATGACAGTATGTAAACGACAGTATGTGAACGACAGTATGCGAATGACAGTATGCGAACGACAGTATGTAAACGACAGTATGTGAACGACAATATGCGAATGACAGTATGCGAACGACAGTATGCGAACGACAGTATGCAAGCGACAGTATGCGAACGACAGTATGTTAACGACAGTATGTGAACAACAGTATGTGAATGACAGTATGCGAACGACACTATGTGAACGACAGTATGTGAACGACAGTATGTGAACGACAGTATGTGAACGACAGTATGCGAACAACAGTATGCAAACCACAGTATGCAAACGACAGTAGGCAAACGACAGTATGCGAACGACAGTATGCGAACGACAGTATGCAAACCACAGTATGCAAACGACAGTATGGGAACGACAGTATGTGAATGACAGTATGTGAACGACAGTATGTGAACGACAGTATGTGAATGACAGTATGCGAACGACACTATGTGAACGACAGTATGTGAACGACAGTATGTGAACGACAGTATGTGAACGACAGTATGTGAACGACAGTATGCGAACAACAGTATGCAAACCACAGTATGCAAACGACAGTATGCGAACGACAGTAGGCGAACGACAGTATGCGAACGACAGTATGCGAACGACAGTATGCAAACCACAGTATGCAAACGACAGTATGGGAACGACAGTATGTGAATGACAGTATGTGAACGACAGTATGTGAATGACAGTATGCGAACGACAGTAGGCGAACGACAGTATGCGAACGACAGTATGCGAACGACAGTATGCGAACGACAGTATGTGAATGACAGTATGTGAATGACAGTATGTGAATGACAGTATGTGAATGACAGTATGCGAACGACAGTATGCGAATGACAGTATGCGAACGACAGTATGGGAACGACAGTATGTGAACGACAGTATGTGAACGACAGTATGTGAATGACAGTATGTGAATGACAGTATGTGAATGACAGTATGTGAATGACACTATGCGAACGACAGTATGGGAACGACAGTATGTGAACGACAGTATGTGAACGACAGTATGTGAATGACAGTATGTGAATGACAGTATGTGAATGACACTATGCGAACGACAGTATGTGAATGACAGTATGCGAACGACAGTATGCGAACGACAGTATGCAAACGACAGTATGTGAACGACAGTATGCAAACGACTGTATGCGAACGACAGTATGTGAACGACAGTATGTGAACGACAGTATGTGAATGACAGTATGCGAATGACAGTATGCGAACGACAGTATGTGAATGACAGTATCATGTGACTGATTAGCGAAAACAATTACCCTTCTAGAAAAAGGTGGTCAAGAAGATGGCGCTCGTGCATGAAAAATGGCTGCTATTCATAAAACACAGTGGCTATACATGAGAAAAGGCGCATATACAAGAAAAATGACGCCCGCAGTGTCGCAGGCTCGCTATATATATATATATATATATATATCAGAG